AAAATAATAAAGTTCACCTGGCTGGATTACATTGGAAATGTATGAAACAAAAAAATCAAACAAGAGAAAACAAAATATAATCAAGATAAACAATAACAAGAGCAGCAATCAAACACACCTGCAGGATGCGCTCCTGGTGGACGCCAACAAAGTCGAGCGCTTCATTAATGAAGTTGTAACGGACAGTTTTCAGCAGACTTTCCATCAGAGACAGACTCAATCTGTACACACCCGGCCAGCTGGGGGCGTCCTGAGACTTACGCACAAACGCCTGAGAGAGACAGAGCTGCGGTCACAAAGAGGCTCTAAACCTCCTCAAAAAATGAGTCCAATTAGGATATTGTAGTTGTAAGGCAGTACCTGCGTGGCTCCATTAGATGGTCCCTCATACACACTGAGGAGAGGAAGACAGATGCTCTGAATCACTCCGGCACCTGCCACCGCTGCTGCCCCCTACAGACCAGGAGGAAACACACTTAATGCACATGGATTCATTTTAGCCAATCAGTTCGTTCATATATTCAGTAGTTTAATTGATTTCATTTTTGAGTCATTGCTTGATGTACCCTAAAGTCCTAGTTCATTTCTGGAGTGAAATGTTTATGATTTTAACATGTCACCCATATCTCAGATCCCTTAAAGTTTCACATACACTTTGTATTAAAATCAGTGGATCATATCCTTTTTGACTCGATTCATATGGATTCGTCTTGAGAGGCCTTTGTGATCTTCTAAGTTTTGGCTACCTGGACTTTCAGTGGAGGGACAGAAAACTCCCACGTTTCATAAAAATATTTCATTTGTGTTTTAACCAAAGTCTTCAAAGACATGAGGATGAGTAAATGATGACAATTTTCATTTTTAGGTGAACTAGGCCTTTTATGAATATACTGGAAAGTATATTAATAAAATAGATCAAAATATCCATGCAGTTTTGATCAATTTACATGAACTTTCCATGTCTAGAAATCACACTTTTAATATTAGGCTACCTTATACATCCAAGATTTCTACATCCTGGTTCTTCAAAGATAAAGACAACTGTAGATGGGGCAAACTGTCTAATAAACCTGGTACTGTATATTATGAATATTTTTTGCTCTTTGACAAATTGTTTTTGTTCCTCTTTTGTAAGTTGCTTTGGATAAAAGCGTCTGCTAAATGCATAAATGTAACTGTAAAATAAGAAGTGTTTTAGTTCATTTTAATAGTTTTGTCTTATTTTAAATTATTTTAAGTCATCTTGAGGCCCTGCTGTTTGAGAACCACTGTCATTAAAAAGAACCGATTAAAAAGCAAGATTCAGTGAATCAGACACTACTAATACCAAAGGGAAAACATCAGTATGTGGTTTCTACCTGCGGGGTTCTCGTGAGGGTGAGCAGCAGATGAAGCGCTGCCTCTGTGAAGTAAAGGTTCTGTTTGGAACGCAGGCTAAGCTCCAGAGCGCTGAGAACCGACGGCAGAACTGGCAGCTTCCTGACCACCTGCAGCCACTGCTCACCATCCTCATCAGCCCGACACAACTCTTTAGAGAGATGAAGAGCTAACACACACACCTGAGACAGAGAGAGAGAGATACCGCTTGTGATCTAAACGGAATAACTGCATACTGTATATACTGCACAATATACTGCCTATAAATAGTATGTGAATAGTATGCATTGTATACTAAACAGTAACATGTTATGGAAGCTCGGTTCCACCACAGAAAAAAAAAAAAAAAATGTATATCAAAATTCAGACTTGTTTCAAAAATAATAATAATCTTTTCAAAAAAATGGATATAAACTCTTTTTCTTCACAATTCTTAGTTTATATCTCGTAATTCCAAATTTACATCTCACAATATATATTCACAGTTCACATCTTAGAATTCCAAGTTTACATTTTGGAATTCTGAGTTTACTTCATGGAATTCTGACATTTTTTCTCTTAATTCTGAGGTCACATCTCGTAATTCAGTTTTTTTGTTTCCACCATGGGGAAAAAAAATAAAGTAACCACAACTTTGTCAATTGACTTTTTGCAACTCTAAAGCAATAAAAAAAAAATTTATTCCACGGCAGAAACAAGCTTTGATAGTTGTCACATGACTGCATTTTTAATCAGCGAGGCATACAGTCATTTAAGAAATGTTTCGTATTTTTAATCTAATTTCTTGCCTTTTGAGAGTTCAAATTGTTAATATCAGGTCAAGTGCAGTGCATTGTGGGATAGCATATTTACATTCTGTGTACACTATACATACAAACACACACTCACTGAGTCTTGCTGGTCTTTCTGGAAATGCGGGCTGTCTGTCTCCATGCTGTCCTCCTGAACATCACCTCTCTGTATCGTGTGACGTGTGCTGTCAATCAATGCCAGGGCTTCGTCCTGAACCATCTCACACACGCACAACAGCAGCTGGGGAAGCTGGGTAATCTCTCCTCCTGATCCAGAAATTGTTAGACAATTGTTAAAACAAAACAAACAATATGCACACAGCTGGTGTAATGTGTTTCCCCAGACAAACATGCAGACTGACCATTCAGTCCTTGTATCTGCAGGGCTAAGATGAGAGCTGACAGGAGTTTGGCTTTGGTTCGGTCCGTGAGCTGTTGTTCAGCATGCAGAACGCTTTCCATCATCAGAGACAGGGGCGGCAGAAGAGCTGGAGCGGACACCAACACACTGACACAAACCACATCAACAATATTAGTTAACATGCTCCTTTGAAACGAAAGAGTTTTAAATATAACACTGACATTACTAACATTCAAAACAACCTCCACAGCTCATCATGACTTTTTGAGTTAATAATTTTCCGTGGCTTATCTTCAGTAAACATTCTTTAATGTTTAAAATTATCTAAATAAAAAATAACAAATAAAAACAGCAAAAACACAACAAATCACAACTAAAACTTTAACTAAAATCAAAATGAAAAGGGAAAATAAAAAAAGAAGCAATTCAAAATATATATATAAAAAAACTATTATAGTATGATACTAAAATAACATGGGTGTAAATGTAGACATTTTTAAAATTATGAGTCTTTTGTGTATTTTTATTTTTTTAAGTTTCAGTAATTTTGTTGTTTATGTCAGTTTTTTTATGTCTATATAGTTCCAATTAATTTTTATTTCAGTTTTACTTTTACTTATTTTATTACATCAAGTTAAATTAAAATGAAAATAAAATGTTGCTTTGGAAACTAGTTGAAATAAGTTCAAATTTTTTTTATATTTTATTTCAGTTAACATTTAAGTAACAGAAATGTTTTTTATGGTTCCACTTTTAGTTCTAGTTACTATAATAACCCTGATTTACACAACACCAATTCAGTATTCAGTAACTTGGCAGAGACGTTGCTATTCATTTCAAATGTGAAGCTGTGAGCATATCATTTGAGCTACGCAAGGCATTAACAGAAACACACACCTTTTCCACTGTTTGAGGAGGATGAGGAGCAGCGTGACCATCATGGATCCCAGACGCAGACAGAAGACAGACTGAGACATCAGCAGCTGAGAGAGAGAGAGAGAGAGATGGAAGTTTGAGGTTTTTGTACCCCTGAGGTAAGTGTGTATGTTTGTGACATAGTAATACTAAAAAAAATCATACATTTTCTTTGAGCAGTAAGGTCAGGATTTAAGATAACTGTAATTATTAAAGCTTAATTTAAGAACATTAAAGTCCATATTTAGATATATAGTCGTGGGTGCTTGTATGTATAAGGGAACTTACCGCTGCTTTGGTCCCTTCCAACACGTCCATGAAAAGCTTCTGCCTGACAGTGTCATCCTTCAGATGCATCACCTCAGACTACAAACACACAAGACAGGTTATGATTAATACCAGCAGGATAACCATGAGACTTGTGAAGTTGAGTGTAGCTGCTCACATGACTGGTGGAGAGTATTAAGAGTGTCCTCCAGGCTGAGATGAGCATCTGAGACTCAGACAGAGAGCGCAGACCCTCCTCTTCACCGCCACACGCCACACACACCAGATCACGCACGTAATCCGACCAGAACTCATAGCGGCGCTTACTGCTGAAATTCTCCAGAGCCGCTTTCAGACACGGATCCAACACACCACTGAGAGAGAGACAGACAACTCACGTGAAACAGAAACAAGATAAAACACTTCTTTTACTAATTATTTAACAATTTTAAAGCAGCTGATTGGAGTATTTACAGCTTGACCGATACATTTAATGGCTGTTTTTGAATGGAACAGCATATCCTGTATGTACGGGCCCTTTACATGCTTGTGTAGATCATACCTGACAACATAGTAGATCTCAAGAGCGATTATCTTCATCACAAAGGCACAAGACTCCAGAACACACGGCTACACAAAAACAAACACAATAAGACTTGTGTAAATAAAGAACTCACACATACATGTTTCTCAACTAAGTGAGGACACAGCATACCAACTGTTATTACTATTGACAAACCCAAAACTTTGTAAAACATAACGTTTATTAGTCAACGTTCAATGATTGATACATTTTTTTACAGTATTTATAAATATTTGTTATTATTAGTTAATAAAAATACAACTGTCGTATTGTATTATTAGTTCACGGTTTCTCAGGTCCAGTGCTATTTTAGCATCAAGATAGTATTATATTTTTTTATTAATATTTTGAATCAGGTTTTATTTCTATATTTCCCTTTTTGAAAATTTTGGTTAAAGTTTTAGCAATTTTGTAATT